CGGGTCATTTAGGCCTCGGACATTCCAAAATAATACTTTTGCACACATCAGGAAAGGTTAGGAGACTCTCCCATTTGAGGAAGAGAGCCTAGAGTAGCCAAAACAGAAAAAGGGTTGGGGTTTGAAGGGTCAAAAGGTGGAGGAGAAGTTGTTTTAGACAAAGTTTTAGAGGGTAGGATGAGAGAATAAGGTGGGGATATAGAAGGGTCAGATCGAGATCTCTTTAGTGAGTGGGTTATCTTTGGGCTAGGGGGAGAAGAATGGGAAATAAAGGCACCATGGTTAGCAATAGTGAGGATTGGTTTAGATGAGACAGAATTTAGTGGGACTAGAGGAGGTAGGGGATTAACGGTATTGGGAGAGGGCGATGGGATGATAGAAGGAATGAGAGCTGGTGGTTGTTTGGGGTCAGTAGTAGTTGGGGTAGTGGAGGCTTTAGGAGGGAAAGAGGGTAAGGTTTGGGAGGAAGAGACAACATAATGCGACGGAGTTTTAGGTGAAGATTTGGCAGGTGTTTTTGGTTGATTGCTAGGTTTGGGAGGTGCACCTTCATGAGAGATATTTTTCTCAACAGGTAGATGAAGACAATTTTTGGAGATATGTCCTAATTCCTTGCAATGGGAACAAGTAGGAGGCAATCAAGGATAAGTGACATAAACTTCTACAATTTCTCCAGACTGTCGAGTGAACTCTACCACATCAGGTACAAGTTTTGTGAAGTCTACCTCAACCTTAACATGGGACAGTGTGAGACTCACAAGATTCTTAGTGAAGTCATCAGTTTCTTTTGGCTCACCGACAAGACCTGCAACTAGACTAAGTCCTTCTTGGTGGCGCAAGTCGAGAGGTATGCCATGAAGATGCGCCCATAATTGCATAGACTTGAGTGAGGATGGCTGTGTTGAGTGAGCTGATGACCATTGTTCCGTGTGAAACATAGAGTCCCCAACGTACCAATAACTCTTCTACAGAATTTTTTGTTTCAGGTAATCACTTGTAATCCTCACAAGCACTGTCCTAGTAAGGGGGTTGTTGTGTATTTCCAATCTTTTACCTTTTCCCCACATATGATTTAAAACACTTTGGATTTGACTGTAGGGAGGAGGCCTTCCATTGAAAACACAGACAATGAAATCTTTATGGAGTTCTGCCCCTTTCTAAAACACTACATCAGGGATGAGAATAGTTGGTCTTCCATTAGCTGATATGGTCGCTGGAGCAAGCCTCTTTAAGCTCTTATCTTCATATCTACGGATTTTCTCCACTAGCGAAGGCTGTTGTGGCACTGCTGGTGAAGACTGGTTAATTACAGGTTGGGGAAAGTGTTAGGTGTAGTAGTTGGTTGAGGGTTTGAGGTTGGCTGAGGAGGGATGGGGCAATTGAATTTTTGTGGGAAATGGTTCGGAGAAGTAGTTTGTTTTGAGTTTGAGGATTGCTGGGGGAGAATGGGGTTAGTGGAGTTTATTGGTGTCTGGAAAAAAACTGATTGAGAGAGAGAGTTAGATGGTTGAATGGGAGAAGAAGCCTTATTAGTATGAAGGGGGGAACTAGATTTAGGTGGTAAGATTTTAAAATTCTCAAATTCTTTGGCTGATGCAGAAGCTACAGTGGAACCAGATCTAGGATTTTGTTTTTTTTGCAGATAACAGCCGCTTGAGTCATTACTGTGTCATCAGTTGAGACAGTCCCAGAAGAGACAGATGGGAATTGAATAGAACGCTCTTTAGCAACAGAGGAAACTGAGATTGAAGAGCGAGCAGTTGGTGTTGGAGTGGGAGAAAGAAGGGGAAAGGTTGAAAGGGAAAGCTGGGAAGAAGGGTCGGGGGGGGGGGGTCTGGTGGGAGGGGCGGGACAAGGTTTTGCTGTTCACCGGTGGTGAGTGACGGCGGAGGCAAGGCGGAAGCAAGGCGGACAGAGGCCCAAGGGTTTGACATTGGAAACTGTGTCAGAGAGAGATTGACTTTTATTATTAATTCAACAGTTGATAATACAATGAGCCTGTTTTGAGATTCTTATACAAATGGTACCAAAATAAAGAAAAAACTCATATGTGGATTACTTTCTGTAGAATTTATTCAACCAGTTGAATGGAGAAAAAGTGGACCCAAAACACCAAATAGTACCGATTGAGTGGAAAGAGAATGACAAGGTGAATCTCACGCTTTTGCTTTTCGAAAACAAAAACTCATTTATCGTTAAAAATATATGTTGCTATATTTTTATTGGTTGGTAAGCTTTTTTGAGATTATTATCCTTTCAAATAATTGAAACTCAATAACTTTACAGTAAATTTTTTTTAAAAAAAATAAAATTTATATCAAAATTTATATTTTTTTATGATCTATAAATAGAGACTAGTCTTGTTTCATTTAGATACATAAAAATCTTTAATTTTTACTATAATTTAGCTTTTAATAAAAAAAATCTGTGTGTTTAAACTTCTTTTTTTTTTGGTAAATACACCACAACAATAATCCATTAAACACTCAAAATTCGTCTATTTTTCCTTTCAATTATCCAAATCCTAACAACTATCATTTTCAAAATCAATCTTCAAATACACCCCAAAATATTTCAAATTATGGTTTTCCACCAAATTTTTTTATGTCATCATCTGTTCCAAACTATCCTCCATATTATGAATTGATAATGCCAAATTTATCTCAATGATCCCTTTTTATTATAAATATTTATAAATCATTTTATAAACTTTTATAAATAACTTATAAACCTTTATAAATCATTTTATAAACCATTATAAACTCTTATAAATAACTTATAAACATGTATAAATAACTTATAAACCTTTATAGTTCAAATTTATAAACTCATATAATTCAAATTCATTTTATAAACATTATTAAATGTCTATCACGAATTTCAAGCAGATCTAATCAAACACTATGGGCAAAATTTGAAATGTTCCAAAATTAAATCAACTTTGAGTTGTGTGTAATTTAAGATTTTTACTGTTTTTGAATTGAATCTATTGTATCAATTAAATTATGTGTTTTATTTGTTGTTTGTGTATTATATCATGTATATTTGAAATTTTGTAATTTTATTGTTTTAATAAAAATAATATTGTATTTTTAAAAATAATTAAGAAGATAAATAAACATTATGAAAATATCATATTTTTATTCTTTATGTTATTTACACTCGAAATTATTATTTATGTAGCTATTAAAAATATAAAAGATAACAATAATGATTTAAAAATTGTGGGGTAGACTGTTGAGTTTTATTAAGCAAAAATATTGTGTTGAAAAAAAAAATTAAGCAAAACTATTGTAGAGGTTAAAAAGAGAAAAGTAGGATGTTGAATAAATCAATTAGGGCTGGGCAAATAAACCGAATCCAAAAATCCAAACCGAACCCGATCCGATAAAAATGAATCTGAACCGATTCGAACCCGATTTAAATACCGAATGGATCTTGTTTTATGGTATTTCGGATTATGGGTATTATCCGAACCGAACCCGAAATTAAATGGATATCCGATAGAACCCAAAACATTCAAATTTTTTAATGAAAGTGTACCAAACATGATCTTAATTCCTAATATATATCCAAAATATTTTAATATATTACTAAACATCTAAAATAATTATCTATTACATGAAGGTTGATGATTGAAGGTGGCGGTTGAAACTTGAAATTTTTAGATTAAAGTTTTGTTATTGAATAATGTTTCTCATTTTTTAAGAACTTGGTTTTCGTTTTATGCTTTTATTTATTTGGTTTTCTTTTTATAAATAACTATGTTTACCTTTCATTTGATTTTGAATGATCAAGTTTGAAGTTCCTTTCTTATTTTTGAATCAATTTTACTTATATTTTGGCTACAAAATAGTTACACATTAGGTACTTTAAATCCGAAGAACCAATTTTACTTATGTTTTGGTTACAAAGTAGGTACAAATAAAGTATTTTAAACCAAAGAACCGATTGGGACCCGAATCCGAAAGTATAACGGGTTGTACCGGTTCTTTAAAGATTTACTAACCCCGACCCGAACCCGAACCGATCCCGAACCGAACTTTCAAATAATCCGAATGGGACTGATTTTGATAAACCCAAAGAACCGAGACCCGATTGGATAAAACCGAAATCCGAATGGGACCCCGAATGCCCATCCCTAAAATCAATCATTGTAGGTAGTTTTATATAGTAAAAGAGAAGCACTGTCATTTAATAAGTTTCTATTACGTTTTGTCATAGGGTAGTTTCACAGCGATTAGAAAACACGTATATTGACGTGTCACGTACATAAAAGTTTTTAACCAAATCTATATATATAAAGGAGACTTTGTCTCCCTCTTATTCATCCACGTCATATAATCATTCATTCCCGTGTTGTCACGTGTCCAATTGGACTTTTTTTTTATTTTTTGGCCCAAACTTTGTTGAGTCCAAGGCCCGTCCAGTAGGTAATCTGTCCCTTCTCTCCTTTCATCCGAATTAAGGTTTGTCGAGCAGCCGCCGTTGTTTCTTCTCTGAACTCATTTCTCATTGTCGATTCGCCTTTCCCCTTTCCTGGTTTATATGAAACTTTGTTACTCATTGATGATAGTATTTACGATCCCCCCACTATCTGTAATCAATCTCATCTTATCATCTTAGAGTCGGTGGAGAAGGTGTATATATATAAGTGAGATCTTCATCATCTTAGAATCGCTCACAAGAGGGGGTCTGAAACACAGAACCAACCATGTTTCTGTGGCCAAACTGCGCCAGAATCATTGAGCAGAGAGAAGAATCAACGGAGAGTCTGACGTTGGAGTTGAATTTGTTAAGCTTTTGAAGACGAAAGTAGTCGAAGAAATCAGATGGCCTTTCGAGGAAGAAGTCTTGGTTAATTTTTTCTTTTTGCTAAAATTTGAGAAATCTTGGTTAGTTGCAGAGGAGGAATTAAGAGTTTGTGTTTTTGATTTCTAATAGATTGGACCAAAAAGCTCAATTTATTGTTTTATCTTTGTCTTTTTCAGAACTCAAGCATGTATACTCGCAAGCCAAGGGTGAAGAACAAACAAGCCATGGATCATGCCATTGATCCTTGCATGAGCTTCGGAAATATTATGAAAGAAGCTCAGCGGATTGGTAACAACATTCTCTCCTTTCTCTCTCGCTCCACATTTGTCTGTTAGATTTTTTTTAGTTTTTTAGCATTATGATATCAACGGAAGTGGGGAACCTGTTTAGGTTGTTTGAATAAGACAACTGACAAGTTATGTTCTCTTTTAACTGATCTTTAAATGTTTTAAAAGCTAAAACAAATATGACATGGAAGGATAATAAAGCTTTGGAGAATCAGAAAGACACTGAATTTGGTGGAAAGGTTTGATCTTTTTTCCATGTTCCGATGATAATGATTTCTTTCTTCTCAAAGTTACAGTTTTTACGAGATGGGTAAAATCTTTTTTTGTTGTTGTTTATTGTAGCCTCGAAAGAAACAGAGGCTACCTCTCAAAATGAAAGAGAAGAGAAGATGTTGGAACAGGTTAGGCTTTTAGATGATAATGTGAATCATATTAGGAAACTAAGTCTCACTCTCAGTTGTTATTGTGTGGTTTTGCAGAATATAATTCTTGGAAATTTGGAGGACAGTTTGGTGGTACAAGTACGAAGAAACCCGTAGAGAAGAAGCGCAAGCAAGAGGAGAGAGTGCTGAAATCCACTTTTGGGAATTTCAGGGGTGGTGTTCTCTATGTTAAGGATTTACAACGTTCTGGTGGCTCTTCAAGTAGTGGCGGAGATTACAACTTCAGCAAGAACAAGAGCAAGTCCAAAGGCATGGGAGGAGACCTAGGAGGAGGAGGGGAAGACATCAAGAAGATAGGTAAGAGGACCCTTTAAGATATCCTTTCTACTTTTTCTGTTTTGGTCTGATGCTTTGTTCTGTTTATAATCGTTGTCATGTTGTTTTCTGTTTTGATCTTAAGCCTTTGTTTTGTCTATAAACATAGTCATGTTGTGTTGTTTTTCTAAGAAAAAATCAAATTACTTCTGGAGTAGTAATTTCTAAACATTGTCTATTCTTTTTTGGTGCGTCAAGTTCTGTTCTGTGGGTTTCATCAAAAATAATCAACCAAGTTCTATCTTAGCCGGTCAAATAACAGCAGAGCAGCTCACAAAGTTTCTCTTCTACAGTGAATGTTTAATCTATGCAACATGGTGGGTAGGAGATAGTTTATCGTCTTTGATGCAATCAGTTGGAGCGAGTAAAAAGGTCTTCCAAATGATGGATCTCAGGCCAAGTGATCAATTCATATCAAAAGGCAAGGTTCCATTTTTGTTGTTGTCAAAAAGAGCAGCATCTTATAAAAGTATGTTACCGTTTATCAGATTTATGGGAGCTTGAGTTTGCTTATAATCAGTTGATATGACTCTTAACGTCAAACCTTTTCAAGGATGACCCAGATATTGTAAATCACTATCACAGATTGCTACGCTTGACCATTTAACATATTTTTAGTTATCAACTGTTCTGCAGGAACGAGACTGCAGAGATTGACAGGACATATCGAGTTCGTAAATGTGTCCTTCTCCTACCCTTCAAGAGAAGAGGTATGACTGCGTTCATGTGTGTAACTTTTGGAGACTAACCTTTTGCCTTTAATTTTTCGCTTTTGTTTGGATATGCTTGAACTAGATTCTCAGTGTCTAACCTTTTGCCTTTAATTTTTCGCTTTTGTTTGGATATGCTTGAACTAGATTCTCAGTGTCTAAACAAATCATATCACATGTAGATCTCTTAGGTGGCAGTGCTTCAAAACGTGATCATTTCCATGCGTCTGGGTGAAGTGATGGCTATCATAATTATTTATCTCAAAGTAGTCCCCACGGTGCCAAATACTTACTTAGAGTGTCTTGGAAGTTATTTGTGTACAAATCTGTTGTGTTCATGTTGGTCTAAGTGGCAGTGGTAAAAGCACAGTGGTTAGTCTTTTGCTGCAACTATACGAAACAAAAAGCGATGAGGTAGGTTATACAAACACTCACTGTAGAAACCTTTTCAAGCCTTTCCTTCCTAAAGGCTTCCTTTTTGAATTCCAGATTCTACTCGATGGGGTTCAAGGACGTGGACAATATTCAAACGCTAGATGCAAAGCTGTTTTGATTACTTGATTTGCTAACACCACTGTAAACAATATACATATTAAAAAGATATTTCCGTATAGTTTTTAAGTCAATTATATTAAGTTTTAAAACAAAATAAAAGGAATGATGTAAGCCTAATTTAATTCTTAATGTATAACTAAAACATATGTTACTTAACAAAAGAAACACATCTAAAATATTTTAACAACAACAAAAATTCAATAGGTAATAATAATTTTTTCTAAAAATAATTATTTTTCATAAAACATGCTTTATTTAGTATTTAATTACAATAACTATACAAAATTTAACTAAAATGTATATTTTCTATGAAAAAAAATCTATATTAAACATTTATTTTAGCTGTTTAAATTATTTTAAAAATTTCATCCCGCCCGTAGGGCGGGTCAGCCCTAGTTCTACATAAATGCATTCACACTATATATGATTTTATGTTTTTTCAATATAAAGCTTACATAGACAGTTCTATGGATTATACAAAAGTTTTACACAGAAATATAATTTACAAAAAATGTACTATTGTCTAGACTTATTTTATTTTTACTTATTTTATTTTAATAGAAGATTATATTTTATGTGTTATTTTAAACATTTTTATGTTAATTACGGTATCTTTATATATTTATCATTCACCTTTATATAATTTTTACATACACATATAAGAGTGGATACGAATCGGATTTCTGAGGTTTTGGAGGTATTCATGATTCAATATGTTTCGTCCGAATAATCAAGGGGGAATTGCCAAAACCAACCTAAATATTCATTTTAACCCTAAAGGTGTACCCCATATTCAATCAATTGCAAACCCAACCCAAAGGGGTGTTAAAACTACTATTTAACCCTTATGAACAAACAAAAAACGTGGAATATATTTTACGATTCTGTCCTTCGTAGGTCTACACTTTAAGAAAGAAGTCTACAACTACGTAGACTTACATTAACGTCTACTGTGTAAACTAATGTAGACTTATTATTTAGTCTACATCTTAATTTAATCAAATAATTTAATTTTAAAAATGTAGAAAAAATGTTTTTGGTAATTTTTTTAATAAATCATCAATTTAAAGGTTAGTATGAGGTATATAAATTAAATTTTCTTATAATTGAACAATTTAAAAGAATGTATATTGATTTGGGAACTATGTGGTAGACAATGTTAATGGTTTAACAACCAAAGGTTCTAACATGTTATGTCTTTTAGAGTTAGATTCTTAAGGTTAGATTCTACATTTAGAATAATTTTGTTTAAATGATTCAAAATTGCATATTTAATGTTGAGTAGTTTATATTTTGTATATATGATATTTGGTACAATGACTAAGATTTTTTTTATAATCAATCAAACATTTAGGGTTTGGAATTTGGGGTTTAGGGTTTGAGATTTCTGGTTTAGGGTTTAGTAGACTTATAGTTAAGTCTACTGATATGTAGACGTCTATTTCAGTCTACGTTAATTTGTGTTTACCAAAATAAATTATTTTAAAATTAAAATTAACTAAGCGGGAAATGAAAATGAATTTTGGAGCCTATTTTTCCATATTGGCGCCAATATTTAGGGTATAGTAGATTTACAGTAAAGTCTACTTATATGTAGACGTATATTTCAGTCTACGTTAATTTGTGTTTACCAAAATAAATTATTTTAAAAATTAAAATTAACTAAGCGGGAAGTGAAAATGAATTTTGGAGCCTATTTTCCATATTGGCGCCAATATTTAGGGTATAGTAGACTTACAGTAAAGTCTACTTATATGTAGACGTATATTTCAGTCTACATTAACCAATTTAACCTAACCGAAAAAATTACACAGCATATAAATACTTTTTTTAGGGTTTTCTGGTAAAAAGAATCATAGTCACGCCATTTAGATCTGAGGCGGTTTAGGGGGCGATTTCCGGTGAGATTTCTGGCGAACCCTCTTTGACTTCGTTTTCACACCCAACCACCTTCCTCTCGGAATAACCATTCACCACCACGACCATCACCACTATCCTCTCCCATCCTTCAGCCATCTCCACCTTGTCTCCTCCTCATCTCCTCCTCGTCACCACCATTACTCTCCGCCTCATCTCCTCCTCATCTCCACCATTACTTTCCGCCTTGTCTCCTCCTCATCTACTCCTCATCATCACCATTACTCTCCTCCCTGTCTCCCTCTCTCCATATATGTGTTTATAAAGACTCTCTGCATCTCTTATTGTTTTGATTAAAGTGTTCAATTTTCGTTCTAGGGTTTGTATATGTTCAATTTATTTTCTGTAAATTGAAATGCATATGTCGTTGACGAAAATTGATGAAGTGTTATGAGTTAATACATGTTTGTAGTGTACAAGCATGTGTTATGTTTTATTGATTTCTCTGGCTTCTTTTGTTGCAGGTTGGTCCCAGAATTTTACTGCAGACTACGATTTGTAGACTGTCTTATAGGTCTACATTAATTTAGACTATATATACAGTCTACATAGAAAAATCTATTTAAAATTGAATTTGTGTATTGTTTATTTTAGGTTTCATGTTCTGTTTAGAGAAACATTGATTGTTCATTATATTTTCGGATGCATTGTCTTAGATTATGTATAGAGAAACACTGATTTTTTTATTATATAGTTGGATGCACTGGGTTAGCTTAAGCTTGTTTTACTCACTCTCTGAAGTTGAATCATTTATAAGAGTGGTTATGATGTGTTTTTCGTTCTAGGGTTTGTATATGTTCAATTTATTTTCTGTAAATTGAAATGCATATGTCGTTGACGAAAATTGATGAAGTGTTACGAGTTAATACATGTTTGTAGTGTACAAGCATGTGTTATGTTTTATTGATTTCTCTGGTTTCTTTTGTTGCAGGTTGCTCCCATAATTTTACTGCAGACTACGATTTGTAGACTGTCTTATAGGTCTACATTAATTTAGACTGAATATACAGTCTACATAGAAAAATCTATTTAAAATTGAATTTGTGTATTGTTTATTTTAGGTTTCAGATTCTGTTTAGAGAAACATTGATTGTTCATTATATTTTCGGATGCATTGTCTTAGATTCTGTATAGAGAAACACTGATTTTTTTATTATATAGTTGGATGCATTGGGTTAGCTTAAGCTTGTTTTACTCACTCTCTGAAGTTGAATCATTTATAAGAGTGGTTAGGATGTGTTTTTTGATTACTAAAAAGATTTGAACTTTAATTGAGAAAATCTATGTGAGTTTCATGCTTTACTCATAGCTTCTAATCTTAATTAATGTGACTGAAATCAGATGTGTAGTGCCCATTAATCACTGTCAAGTCCTGTGTACCATACTCTTAGTTTAGTTATGGTCGTTTTTTTCCCATATTATTCTGATTTGTTTTGTTGAATCTTACTTCTTTTGTTTTGTTTTCTGTAGATTAACCACCATTCTTCGTTGATGGGACATGAAGAGTGGAAGAAGACCTTGAGTTGTTGAAGAAGTTTACGGTGGAAGAAGAAGATGAAGCTGCTGGAGTCTTCAATTTTTTTAGGTTTAGAATTTTTTAAAGATTTGGTTTGGTGTAAACCAAGTTGGGGAAATTGTGGTGGTTTGACTTTAGTTTCTAATTATTGGTTTAGTTTTGTAAACTAGTTTTAATTTATAAATAAAATTTATTAGTTTTCTTTCTTGNTTTTTTAAAGATTTGGTTTGGTGTAAACCAAGTTGGGGAAATTGTGGTGGTTTGACTTTAGTTTCTAATTATTGGTTTAGTTTTGTAAACTAGTTTTAATTTATAAATAAAATTTATTAGTTTTCTTTCTTGTAGACTTACAAAGAAGTCTACTTGACAGAGAAAAATATAACATAAGTTTATCACATTAGACAACATCTAAAGCAACAATATAGTTTATAAGTTCAACACAGACTAAAGACTTACAAATCCAATAGAAGACAACTTAAAGCAATGAGACACTAATACATAATAGAACATCCATAGCAATAAGAAAACTCATAAGTTCGACACATAACACTAACACATCTAGAGTTTTTCACCACCCATTCTCTGTATACAATGAGTAATTGAGACATCTCCTGCAAAAAAAAAAAAAACGGTTTACATAATTAGTAAACAAAAGTTTCATGTTTGATAAAATTATAAAATAGACTTACAAGTACATCTACAATTATTAGCAAACAATATAGTTAAACCAAAAATTATATCATAGACTTACAAGTACGTCTACAAATTTTAAGTTAACAACATAGACAAACAAAAAATTTGATAACTTCCTAATTATAACAGATTATCTTCTGAAAATCATTCAAGACCCTTCTGATTAACTAACACACACTTTCATAAAAAAAAGTTTTGAAAAAACTTAATGAATAATACACAAATCCACTTTTGATAGATTTTTTTAGGTAGACTACATATTCAGTCTACAGACGTGTAGACGTTTTATTCAGTTTACAGGTTGTAGACTGAACACTAGGTCTACGTTTAGGTTGGTTTCTGCAATTGCCAAATTCACGAGTTACTTTCTGTATTTGAAAAAAATGTGATTTTATACGAGTAGACTTACTTTTTAGTCTACATTTTTAAAAATGTTAGTTTTGCAATTGACCAGAATTCGATCAGAGTTTGACTTTTAGAAATAGACCTATTATGCAGTCTACATTTTTAAATTTGTTTGAAAGAGGTTAGTTTTGCAATTGACCAAATTTGACTTTCTACGAGTAGACAAAACTAAATGTCTACGTAACTGTAGACTGCAGTAAAAGTCTACATTATAACCCGACAGGTTAGTTTTGCAATTGACCAACATAAAATAGTAGACTTCTTATGCAGTCTACTTTTTTTTTCTAAGTTTTGTAGACTGCATATGAAGTTTACACGTAAAGTAAGTTTTAGTCAGCTTCTAAATATTTTAGTCAAATACAAAAGAAACCTATTCAACGAAGTCAAAGTTTTGGTCAAATGCAAAACTGACATTCCGTAGACTTACCTAGCAGTCTACAAAGTGTAGACCTCCACGAAAGTCTACTATGGTAAG